TTTGCATATCCCGTCACCCCAGTATCTCTAATGTGTAAAGTTGTAAGTTCAGCAGGTCGAATACAAAGCATCACCATAACATCAGCAAGAGCCTGATAATTGGGTGGAGTTTTTAAATCATATGCATCTAATCTTTCTTTGACCGATTCTAATGTAAATTCATCTGGATAATCAATGGTTTTAGCCTTTTTCAGATTGTCACTCTGGATTTTGTTGGCTTCTTCTGTAATATCTGAAAATTTCGTGGCCTCGATTATTTGGAATGAAGCGCCAAGGGTTTTTAATTCTCTTCTAAGACGCGAAAGGCGCGATGAACCAGCATTGGCATTTGATGCGGATAGGGCTAAGGCATAAGCTTCGGCTCTTACATCTCTAATGCTAAGTTTATCCCGTAAAATCCGCTGTGCCATATCCCCGATAGTTTCTTCCTCCATTCTTTTCGAGGGTTTGTTGGAAATCGCAATATTTACGTTCTTACTCCCATTTTCCTGGATAGAGAGGTGACATAAGTCGCTTTGCAAAGCAAATAAGGCATTTACTCGTTCCTCACTAAACCCATATCTATTCTGCAAGATTCGTTTTGCTATCTCTCTGATAATTTCTTCTTCCAGGCTTTTTGGGGGTGAAGCTATGGCTATTCTGCAACTACCTTCGACAATATTTATAGTTTTGTTTTTCCCACTTCTCTGATTAGGTATCAATATACCTACCTGCTCACTACTAAATTTAAATCCATCCCGAAGACGTCTTCGTGCCTGATTCCTTTTTCTATCATCGGTAAGCTCTTTAAGAAATTCCGAGGTATATTGACTAAGCTCAACTACACTCATCTTGGGAGTAAGGTTATATTTTTCGACGATTTTAGTTGCGATGGCTGACATGGTTGAATGTTATAATATCTCGAGTAGGCTATGAACAATTCTTTAGGTTATATACACTTTAGAAAATATTTTTTCAAATCGAAATTAATTATCCCGGGTCACTATATACCAAAAATTGAATGGGTGGCAGTTATTGTAATTCTGTCGAAAAATGGACCTGGGTACGGCACGAGATCGATCAAAAGTCTTGGAATCCATGGCTCTACGAAATAAGATAACCAAAAATATCAATGGGATTAAGGAGGATATAGCATTACTCAAAGAGATCGTGGAAAAAATGATCAATATATACCAGGTACATGGTACACGTCAGCCAGAGGCTGGTTCACACCAATGCCTTGGATCTGATCTGTCAATTTGAAATTTACCAATACATAGAATATAACGAAAAAATTATAGCTTCGAGTTGTGGAGACTCAGGCTATAGGTAATTAATGTACTTTGCACTAATTTATATTTTATTTTTTTACATTGCCTGGAATAGGTTCCGATATGTTTCTATACTTATGGACCATTTCCTGTAAATATCGGGTCTGTTTTCCATTATATCTATTGGAGGTATCATAGCTGGATAGGAGAGATCACTTAAAAATTCCATCTGCTCTATATAATAATAATCCATTGCATCTGGTAATTTTAGAAATTCGGCTAAATCTTTTACGTACCTGAAGCCATTGCGCATTAGTCTACGGAATGTTGACCCATTCAGGTCGATCTCTCTCTTGGTTAATAGGTTGAGCACTTTTTGGGGTGTTTCCATTGGGTATGTAGTGTATATCTAGTATGATGTATGTAAGTAAATATATTCTATCTCATTATATATTCGAAATATTTAAATGGTTTTTTTATATTTGAATCTTATACATATTATATATTATATCCTAAAATACTTTCATGGATCGTGCTATCTGCCCCCATATTAAAAGAGATGGATCCGTTTGCGGAAATAAATGCTGGCGACCTACAGGTTGTTATAGACATTGGAACTTACATGAAAAAAATATATCAAAGTTCCCTTGCGGTATCTGTAGAAAGCGTACTATATCCATCACAGGGTATTGTCCAAAACATTCTGGTAGGTTTTATTCATTGAACTATCGAATGAGACAAAAAGGGCTTATTACCCAAGATTCTGAGTAGGCTCGAAGAGTCATTGTTTAAAATAGATAGATTTTTTTAGTATATATCATTTATTTCGGAAGAAATGAAACTTCGTTCCTGGACGTCACAAAAACCCCTTCTGCGGTATAATATAACCAAGAGTCAAATTTTTCCAATCGTATTTTTTAAGCGTCACAAAAACGAGTATATGGGTATAAAGAATAAAGTTTGTGTAATATTTTAATCTAAAAATTTTTATATTGGTCATTTGTAGAGACAGAAAATTCCGAAGTCTCCACCTATAAAACTCACCTATTCACTCCTTACTGATCGAGCATTTACCATAGATATCTATTTTCCTGGAGTATCGCTATGTTTTTTTTCCATTCTTCATCATCATAAGCATCTGCTCGAGGTTTTCCATCGTCTTCATGCATTCGGAGCTTGATCTCGATACATATCAATTTTTCTCGTCTAGACAATTCCATATATTCCTCTGGATCGTCCCCATCGTTTCGTGCAAAATCGATCATATCTGCATCTGACATCATTTTATCCCGGAATATCATCGCTAAATCTCTATCCTTTTCAGTTATAGTTACGAACTTATCGGGATCCTCACCATGTTTAACCGCACATTCTCTTAAACTCGACTCCCTTTCTGCTCTGGTTGGGAGCGAAGATGGTACTGTTTCCAGTTGGGTTATAGCTTCTTCATTGCTGGATTTGGGTTCATCGTTTGCAGATAAGTCGGGAAATGGTTCAACTTCATCATTACTAGGTTCAATGATCTCGGAAGGAGGTTCTGGTTTATCGTCTATTGGTTCTATGTCTATGATCTCGGGAGTCGTAGATATATTGGTAGACTCAGATGACGAAGCAACTGAACTTTCTGGCTGATCTATTATTGAATCGAAGAGATCCTGGGTCATGTTAGTAATGGTTGGGGTGGGTAATGTATCCTTACCTTTTTCGATGCGATCGGTGCTCAATGGGACGGATTCTATTTTTTCTGGTCGGCTTACACTTTCAGGTATATCGAAAACAGGGATATCTGTGGAAGCATTGGTAAATCTTTCAGTTTGAGATGGGTCAGAAAATTCTTCGATATCACCAACTGATTCACGTAACTTAGCCACGATTTTGGATCGATCAAGGATATACTGCCACTCTCTTTTTCCACCACCAGCACGTTTGTGTTCGATGTCAATCTGTGTATATTTTTTACCTAAAACATTACTACTAAAAGGTTTCTCACCATTAACCTCACACCATGCCCGATACTCTTGATATAAAGTAGCACGACTTAGTGTCTCAACTTGATCCTCAGACCATGTCGAAATACGATCAATTATAAATCGAATAGGATTGGGGAGATGCTCCAGTATTGTATCTGTTTTCATTTTAGAACTGGGAATATCTTGGGGGTCCCAATTTGAAAGATCACGATTAAGAAGATATGACATAACTATCCCTGGTGCATCAGGATGTTCTAGTATTTCAGCCAAACGTTTGAAATATGGTATATTCCCTCTACAGCGTGCAGATACATCAAAACAAACTATACGAGCATCTCCTCCATCTATTTTGAGTGGGGCGTCTTGGTTGCTTGTTACCATAAATGCGGAGAAGTCTTTTAAATGAATAGGTTCAAGGCCTTTACGTTCTATACTCACCTTTCCCTCCGTTATAAGGGATTTAAGATGGCCATTGAATTTATGCCATTCTCCACTAGACATGCTGGTCTCATTCATAACTATCAACTTTTTACCTTGAATAAGACTATTAAATTTTCCAAGAATTTTGCCTAGATCGGATGTTGCATAATAGAGCTTTGGTCCTAAGACTTTATCGCCAATAAAATCAACAATAATATTTTTTCCACATTGTTGGAGAGTAGACTTTAATACGCAGATTGAACGAGGTTTCTTTTCTGGTTTTTGTACCAAATATGCCCACCAGTTCCAGATATATTCATTAAGCTTTTCATTTTCATCACAGATTACATTCTTCACGTGCCAAAGGATGGGATCTATAATTTCTGAGTTTATCTCCTTTGTCGGTTTAGCTGAAAATCCCAGGAAAAGATTAAAGAATTTGGTTTTTGGTGGGATTGCATTTGGAGAATATGGAAGAAAGTTGATTTTGCGATAAACAATTAAAGCCTTTTTAACTGCTCGTTCTATTAATGATCTTAACTTTATTGAATGCCCCCCAAATTTGACTATATTAATCTCATAATTAGCAAGTTCTAGTTTGGGCACAAATTCAAAGGTAAGTACACCATCCTCATCTTCATCTTCGACTTTAAATATCCAAAACTTCTTACCTCTATCGATATAAGCAATTGTTGCTTGGATAGCTTCGTAAACCTCGTTACGTGTATATTTTTCCCCTGATGCACACATATCAATTAAGTCGCCCCATACAAAACGATCACTTGGGTCTGATATTCTAGGTCGGTCTAATTTTACTGGAACTGGAAGGCTATCTTCTTGTTCTGGAGCTGAGTCTTTAACGGTCAACTTTATTGAAGGTTTTCTGGATCCAGGTTCCTTATTATTATTTGCACGATGACAATAGAAGCTATATGATTTTTTGTTTCTGATGATATATGCATTATCACTTGTGTGTGGGTCTTTATAACCATATTCTCGATAACATAATGGACAAAATGCTGGGGTTATTCGTTTAAGAGGGAAAGTATCAGGAAAATTCTCACGTGGGCATTAAAGTTCGTATCCTCCGATTTCGAATTCTTCTAATAATTTTGCAACCACTTCGAGTTCGATTTCAATAGCTTCGTTAGTTTCGGTACATATGTTAGAGATTCTAGTTGCCACGGATTCTGGGACAGATAACAGAGAACTTTCTATAACTGGTGCCTCATCATTAGGTGGACGGAGCATAAAATCAAAGATAGTGCCATCTTTAGGTCCAACAGCTCTCTTTGGACGAACGTGCTCATTAGTTTCTTTAATAATCTTTGGAGTTCCAAGCATCCGCAATGAAAATGGACTCTTATTCGCAATATTATCAACAATATCTTTATCTTGTAAATCTACTGGGAGTTTTTTACGAAC